GTGGGAGCAGCATTACGTAGAGATTTGAAAGCAAGAACCAGAATTTTAAATTGAGCCCTATATCTTACAGCCAATGTAGGGACTGACAGAAGGGTGAGACGTGGGAGGTGCATGCGGACAGGAAGGTGAGCCTCGCCGCCGCATTCATTATGGACTGTAACGGTGCAAGTTGGGAGCACGTAAGACCACAGAGAAGCAGATTACAGTAGTCAAGGAAAGAAAGGGCAGTGGAATGGACCAGCACCTTAGTGGCATCTGGCGTTAAGTAGGGTCGGATGCATGCAATGTTTTTGAGATGGAAGCGGCAGGATTTGGCAATAGACTAAATATGAGGCGTGAAGGAGAGGTCGGAGTCAAAGAGAACACCTAGGCAGCGAGCCTGCGTGGTGGAGCTGATGGTAGCACTGTTGACTTGGAGGGAGACACATGAACAACACTTGAGGGAGGAAATACCAGAATTTCAGTTTTGGTCAAGTTGAGTTTAAGGAAGTGGGCAGCCATCCAGTTAGAAATAGCAGAGAGGCAGTCAGAGACACTAGTCAAGAGGGACAGGGAGAGATCATGAGAGGACAGAAAGATTGTGTCATACGCATGGAAATGATTATTGGAAGCCAGAGGAGCTAATGAGTGTACCAAGGGATGCAGTATAGATAGAGAACAGTAGGGGACCAAGGGCTGAACCTTGTAGGACACCAACAGGAGGAGTTGGGAAGAAGAAGCAGAGCCAGAGAAAGAAACACTGGAGGAGCACCAGGAGAGAGCAGTATCTTGTACACCGATATTGTGTAGGATGAACAGAAGCTGTTGATGATCAACAGTGTCAAAAGCTGCAGAAAGGTCAAGGAGAATTAGGATAGAGTAGTGACCACGAGAGCGAGTAGATAAGTGGATACTTTGGTCAGTACTGTTTCCACAGAGTACTTAGCACGGAAACCAGACTGAAGCAGGTCTAGCAGAGAATTGGACTCGAGGAAGTCTGTCAATCTCGCAGACACAACTCTTTCAAGGATCTTGGACGCAAAAAGCGAGATAGGACGGTAGTTGGATGGGGAGTTAGGATCAAGGTTGGGCTTCTTTAGAATTGGGGTTACAGTTGCATGTATGAAGGGTGATGGAAAAAGAGAGAGTGAGAATTTTAGTGAGAGGTAGAGAAAGAAGAAGACAGAGTACAGATGGGATGCGAGGGAATTGGATCTAGGGAGCAGGAGGTGGGGCGGGAGGACTGGAGCAGAGCAGAAACCTCTTCCGCTGTAGCGGGTCTGAATGAACAGCAGAGGTAGTGAGGTTAGGGGAAATATTGTAAGGGGAAGAAGAAAGATGAGAGATCTCTTCCCTGATTGTAAAGATCTTGTCAGTGAAGTGAATTGCAAAGTCTGAGGCGGTCATGTTAGTAGGTGGAGGATGAACAATAGGGTGAAGAAGAGAGTTAAATGTGTGAAATAGTTGTTTGGGTTCGCGAGAGAGTGTGGTTATGAGGGTATTGAAGTAATTTGCTTTTGCAGAGGAAAGAGCCAAGCTTTATGAGCGCAGCATAAATTTATAGTGGAGAAAATCAGATGCACAGTGAGACTTTCTCCAACAGCGTTCAGCAGTTCTGTAGTATTTTTGGAGGTATCGAGTCAGCTTGGTGTGCCAAAGTTGTTGTTGGGGTTACTGCGTTTAAATGTAGGAGGTGCCATGATGTCTAGTTGAAAGGAGAGGGTAGAATTGTAGAAGGAGGTTGCATAGCTAGGACAGGTGAGGTTTGAGATGGGTCAAAGGAGAGTTTGGAGATTAGTGGAGAAATGCTCTAGGTCAAGACATTGGAGGTTTCTGTGAGATTGATGTTCAGACGGTGGTGTCAATTGGGTCTTAAGTATGCCGATGTCAAAAGTCAGCAGATGGTGGTCAGATAGAGGAAAAAGAATATTTGAGGTGGTACTGAGATTGGTGAAGACGAGATCAAGAGTGTTTCCAGCTGTATGGGTTGCTAAATTGGACCATTGCGTAAGGCCAAAGGAGGAGGTACAGATAGCAAACAAGAGGCATCAATGCAGTTGGGGTTGTTGATTGGGATATTGAAATCCCCAAGTATAAGGGAAGGAGTGCTAGATGAGAGGAAGTGGGGAACCAGCAAGAAAAATGCTCAATGAATAGCCTAGGATGACTTGGGGGTGGGCGAGGGGAGGGGGGTAGATGATTGCAATTCTTAAAAGAGGAGGTTTAAATAGGCGGCAGTTATGATTGGTTGAACGCTACATTGAGAGGAGAGAAGCATGCCTACACCACCTCTGTTGCAGTTGAGTCTGGGAGTGTGAAAGAATTGTAGCCCACCAAAACATAAAGAGGGAGGAGTAGCGCTATCAGAGGGGGCAGCCAGGTCTCTGTAAGTGCAAGTAGTGTGAGTGAGTTTGAGATTAAAAAGTTGTGTATGGCTGTTGATTTTAAATTACTGCAGATGGAGCGTGCGTTCCAGAGTGCACACTGAATGTTGATAAGTGAGGGTAAAGGGCAGGGTATTGTGATGAGGTTTGTGGGGTTTCTGGTTTTCTTAGTGTGTGTAGAGAAGGTGAAGGGCCCTGGATTGGGAGAGACATCACTAACTGCTAGAAGCAGAAAGAGAGAAAGTGACAGGAGGTGTGAATGGGTTTTGAATACATGGAGTCTAGGATGAGATCGATTGTGGGTAGGAGTGAGAGAGTAGAAAAAGGCATGAGATGAAAGAAGGGGGGAGTGTATCAGAGAGGGGCATATGTAAATGTGGATGGGGGAATGAGTGAAGTGGGAGTAAGGAGAAAAGGAGGAAATAAAGAGGAGGAAAAGAAAGATCATTGCTATCCTGGGAAAAATCTAAATTGGAAATAAATGGAATATCAAGAGCAGGTGAAGGTAGGGTAAATATTAAGTTTTATGGGTTAAGAAAGCGCAGAGTGTACTAATAAGAGGCAGTGTGTACACCTGCAGTGGCGTCTCTAGGATTCATTTTTAGGGGGGGAGGCACATGGAGGGCCAGGGACAAAAGTAGGGGGGCACATTTAACCCCACCCTCGCCTCAGTTTGACTTCACCACTGTTGCATGTTTCCAAGGACATTTTGCAGCACAGCTATCAATTACTGTCTGGGTATAATATCCCTGGACAGTCAGTGCTCTCTGTATAATACAGGTCTGTTTGTGTATAATATCCCAAGACAGAGAGCAGCACTATACAGGGAGCACTGACTGTCCCGGGATATTATACAGGCACAGGGCTGTATTATACAGAGAGCAGCACTATACAGGAAGCACTGACTATCCCTGGATATTATATACACACAGATCTGTATTATACAGATAGCTGAGCATATACCCCATGTCCCAATCTCTAGACTACTAGTACCTGTCAACAGCAGCTCCCAGACGCGTGTAACAGGGCTAAAGTGTGCGGCAGCTCACACAGATGATTCAGCGGTAAAGTGCAGAGCCAAACTGGGAATCCCTGGGAATCCAAAGCAGCCCTGGAAAAAAATTGTATGCCATTCTTACAGGTCAAAATAAATATATACACACACAGACTGCTGAGTCCATACAGACTCACAGACTGCTGAGTCCATACACACACACACACACACACACACACACACACACACACACATACACACACACACACACACAGACTGCTGAGTCCATACACACACACACACACACAGACTGCTGAGTCCATACACACACACACACACACAGACTGCTGAGTCCATGCACACACACAGACTGCTATGTCCTATACCACACACACACACACACACACACACACACACACAGACTGTGATGTCCAACACACACATATACACACACACACAGACTGCTGAGTCCATGCACGCACACACACACACACACAGATTGCGTGTCCATACACACTCACAGACTGCTGAGTAAATACACACACACACAGACTGCTGAGTCCATCCCACACACACACACACACACACACACACAGACTCTGCCAGTCCGTACACACACAGACTGCTATGTCCATACACACACAGACTGCTGAGTACACACACACCCATACACACACACACAGACTGCTGAGTCCATACACACACACAGACTGAGTCCATACACACACACAGACTGCTGAGTCCATACACACACACAGACTGCTGAGTCCATACACACTCACAGACTGCTGAGTCCATACACACACACACACACACACACACAGACTGCTGAGTCCATACACACTCACGGACTGCTGAGCCCATACACACACGGACTGCTGAGTCCATACACACACACACACACACACACAGACTGCTGAGTCCATACACACACACACTGCTGTGTCCATACACACACACACACCAAGCCTAGCTGTTGCTGGGGGTCAGGAAGCCATCTTCTGCAGCAGCATGGTCTGCTGCTTTATGCAGGGGGGGAGGGGCTTATGTGCGGGGGACGGGGCCTGTTCCGGGGAGCCTGCCAGTGCTACCTCCAGCCTCAGCAGCGTTCTAGCTGCCCTGTCCTGCATTCCCCCGGGCTGTCACACATTGTCCGATAATTGAAGCACATGGCAAGCAAGTTGCCTGCATTTGAGGGGGCCCAAGGGGGGGCACAACATGATGTAGGGGGGTGGCATGGCCCCCCTCTGGCCCCCCCCCCCACTCCCCTAGCGACGCCACTGTACACCTGTTATTTTTACTTATCTAAAATTTGGGTGTGACATACAATCTATAAATGTAATAATTACAGTGGGGTGGTGAGGGGAGGGTGGGTATCAGACTTTCTTACCTCAATATTTGGGATTGATAGTTTTGAAATCAGGCTGTTGAATAAAGCTATATAAGGGTCATATAGGCTTGTAATAAAGCTGAGGGAGGGGGATATGTATCTAGGCACAGAGATGAAGGGATGGTTATTCAAATATTACCAATACAATAAACATCAAAAGAATCTGAATTGGAGTATACAATAACTCTGTACAAAATAATAAACAGGGCTGCGTCACATACAAAGGAGCGACTAAACAACCAAATAAAATATAAACCAACTTTCGTGTAAGGTAAAGGGAGCACGCCAACTCCCTACCACGAGACAGGGAGTTGGCGTGCTCCCTTTACCTTACACGAAAGTAGGGTGAATAGGGTAAGTTGCTCTTGTTTAATCCCTAGGGTTTTAACACTAGGAGACTATTCATAGCAGCACCCCTCACCTTTACCTAGTGGTTTGGTGGGTTTATGAGCTCCCTCCCCCATGAACTATATATGTGTTTGAGGTCTGATATTCATTTTTTGACATTTTTTGATGTTTTATTATTTGATGTGCACAATCTTTTTTCACAATTTTTTTTTTCTCTTTGATACATAATCCATATTAGTGTTGGGGGCCCCACACTATGTATCTTTGAACTTTGGTCTGGACACATCCTTATGACCTTTTTTATATTTAGATTTATAAGGATTTTTTCATGGTTCTTATGATTTGATTAATTTTATTGTTTATATATGAATAAATATTTTGTGTATATGTACATTTTTATTTTATTCTACAGCTGCTGCTTTGGAGTGTAATTTTTCTAGTGGTCATATTTTATTTGGAGCGCTCACATACCTTTGTTGGTTTATATTTTATATGGTTATTCAAATAAAAACAAACATATCAATAAAAGAAGGGAGGGATCAGAGGTGAGTCAGAAATCAAAGCGGAAATAGAGGAATGCATATAGGTGAATAGAACAATTACATACAGGGCTAGAAAAACTACACTTTAGCATGACAGACAAGATATAAAGGCAAGAAAATATTTAATGCACACAGGATATATAAAATCAAATAAATGTACAGGGTGGTTAAATTAAATATAAATGATGCTCTGCAGGATAGAGACTTAGTGTGGTCTTCCAGAAGGCTACCTTGCTTATTGCAAACGATCTGCTGATGGAGCACAGACTTTCTTACAGCATTATTGGGGCTTGATAGTTTTGAAACCAGGCTTGCTTATTGCAGACGGTCAGCTGATTGAGCACAGACTTTCTTACAGCAGTATTGGGGCTTGATAGTTTTTAAATCAGGCACTACACCACAGACACCTGGACGACACAGAGGTACGCAAAATTACCTCAGAATCCTAGGCTACTCAGAAGTTGATGTACATGCTCTGATCCAGGTATTTTCAATACCATACTGCATAAACCTGCAGACAATCCTATAAGCTTTGCAGACAATCACATACACGTTGCTCTCCTACCAGAAAACTCTCAAAAATTTCCAGAAAATTATAGACCAGTGAGCTTAACTTCTGTGGCTGGGAAAGTATTTGAAAGGTTATAAAGGGAAAATATTTAGGAATTCATTGAGAAGAATATTATTTGCAAAAATCAGGATGGTTTTATGAAACATAGGTCATGTCAAACTAACTTAATTGCATTCTACAAAAAAGTAAGCAGAAGTAGAGATCAGAGTTTTGCAGTGGGTATGATCTCCTTGGATTTTGCCAAGGCGTTTGATATGGTTTCACACAATAGGTTAGTGTTCAAATTAAATAAATTGGTCTAGATGCAACTTCTTGTTCTTGTGTAGAACATTGGCTTAAAAATGGACTACAGAGACTTGCCATTAATGGTAACTTTTCACCACTTCTGTTTAACATTTTTATAAATGATCTTGAAATAAGCATGCTTCTGTGTTTGCAGAAGACAACAAAACTCTGTAAAGTAATATAATGTGAGCAAGATATTACTTTGCTGCAGAGGGATTTAGATGGATTTGAGAACTGGGCATTCAAATGGCAGATGACATTTAATGTAGAAAAATTTAGCAATTTACACTCTAAATGTTAGTGAATTAGGGATAACAACACACAAGAAGGATTTGGGAATTGTTATAGACAACAAACTAGGCAACAGTGTCAATCATCAATGGCTCAGGCAACTACATTATTGTCATGTATAAAAAGGGGCATTAATTCTTGAGATGAGAATATAATTTTGCCTCTTTATAAATCACTGGTAAGACCACACCTTGAACATGCTGTGCAATTTGGGGGACCTGTTCTAAGGAAGGATATTCTTACACTAGAAAAAGTACAGATGCAGACTACAAAAGTAATAAAAGGAATGGAGCATTTTAGTTATGAAGAGGGGTTAACAAATGTAAACCTCTTCCGTTCAGAAAAATGGTGCCTCAGAGGTGATATGATGGCATTATACAAATATATTCAGGGCCAATACAAACATAGTCTGGAAATATATTCATAAACAGGACTATACATTGGACACAAGGTCATGTGCTTAAACTGGAAGAAATGAGATTTAGTCTAAGCAAAGGAAAAGGGAAAGTTTTTTTACACTAAGAACAATAAGGATCTGGAATTATGTGCGTGAAGAAGTGGTTTTATCAGAGTCTGTACGGATGTTTAAACAGCAACTGGGTGTATACTTGCAAAAGGATTAATTTCATGAACATAATTTTTAAATTGTGGGGTAATAGCTCCTTGATCCAAAGAAAAATCTGACTGCCGTTTTGGGGTCAATAATGATTTTATTTCTAGTTTGTTGCAAAATTGGAAGTGCGTCACATTTTTTTACCTTCTTTTGGATAAACCGCAAAAAGAGATGTGTGAAAGGCTGAACTTGATGGACAAATGTCTCTTTGCCTATGCAATTATATAATAAACCACCCTACCACAATATCATCTGCCACCTTCATTACTATTCTGACAAGGTGGACACCTTCACAACAGATCTTCTGACATACCGGCCCTCACCTCCGTTGATGCCCAAATCTTTCAGAGCTTATTCTGTACCATCCTCCAGGGCTGCAGGTCCCTTAAACCCATTACTGGCTACCTCTGTTTGAATAATATAATACATAGATAGGGGTTCCCGTTCACTTTGACAGTGCACCTCAAATATTCACAGTATACCATATCTACATAAGAGGATGTGCCCATTTTAAGCCATAGATCACCATTCAGGACTGGTACTCAGCTCCTCCACCTCCACAAAATGCTGCACAGCCTCAGAGGAGAAGATGACAATCAGCTAAGAGAAAATGGAGATACATCTTGACAGCCATTTCACCATTTGCAGGTCTGTTACTGCCTCAGGCACATGAACCCCAAAAGACACTGAGAGTTCTTTATCCTTTTCCCACAACTTGGCACTGTAATCGTCCTGGGCTCTTGTCCGTATGGTGACCAGTTATCTACAAATGGTGATATCTTGCCATGTGAAAGTTTACTATGCACTACTTTGTCTTACATAATTACATATTAGTTTTAATTTACATAATCTATACATGTTGCTTGTTATTATATTGTAAAGTCCTGCTGGCACACATGGCTAGGGTATTACTATCTCTCCTTAGAGAAGTGCAACCCTTGTGTCCTGGGGATCTACGCTAAGGGGCTGAATACCACTGAAAAGCGTATGTTTTATATATATATATATATATATATATATATATATATATAATTTGCAAGATAATAGACTAATATATGTTTCCTCCACAAATTTCACTTTAGTAAGGGATCAACACCATCAATAAGGTCATGATTTATATCACAAGCCTTTAGTGACTATCACAAAAGTAAATCCAGTGGGGTAGCTATTATATTTTGTAACACAACCATCTTCACACATGTAGATATGATCAGTTCCTTTTTGTTAAGGGCTATTTAAATAATGTTTTATTTACTTTTGTTAATGTGTATGTACCTAACAATGCTCTGGTCCTTTTAATCAAACTAGTACTCAGAAACGATTTGAGCTGAGGGCAACTCAGCCAGTGGCAAAGATGCACAGTTAGTGTAACCCAAATTGTTGCATAAACACCTACACGCCTAAAGACTGCTGGTGAACATTGTATCCGACAGCTATGGACTACACATTTAACTCCCATACTGCACAATCTTACTCTAGACTTGATATGTGTTTTATTACTCACAGGCATTTCCAGCTGCTCGAGCAGGCTCGAATATGGTGTATCACGTGGTCAGATCATGCACCAGTGTAGACAATACCACGTAAATTGTCAACATCTTATACGGGACACAAATGTCCTGCACTCCCACCCATCTTCTGGTAATCGACACTTAAAAGGCCTTTCACAGGCTCTATCTGTTTTGCACCCTGGGGGCTCTTGAGTTTTGGAGAGAGGATGCAATCGTGGATTGAGGCACTTTATACAGGCCTGTCATGTATGCGTTTATGGTCGTCCCTCTCCCTCTGCCATCCAAGGTGGAACTATACATCAATGCCCCATCCCCTCTACTTTTTTGTTTTGGAAATGGAACCCTTCTTAGAAGCATTCTGGCACAATTACCTCATTAAGAGATAGGGGAGGCAAAGGAAGGTGTCAGCGTTTGTGGAGAAATTCATTTTTACATTGATGGAATCCAGAGATTCATTGGCTCAGGTGACCAAGAGCTAGACAATGTGAGCTTCTTCTCTAACTTTAGGGTCAATATTGACAAGAGTGAGTTCTTGGGGATTGCAGTACCTACTTTTCTATGATGTTCTTTTATGGGCTACCTTTAATTTTAGTGTTTTGGGGTACATCTCACTTCCACCATTGATGGCTTCTATGGGGCCACTTAGATTCCTCTACTCAGTGCCATCCAGGATGACCTTAAAAAATGGAACCAACCTCATTTGTCCTTCATGGGCTGAGTCAATATCCTAAAAATTATGGCCCTGCCTAAAATTTGGTATAGTATTCAAATTCTCCCTGTCCCAATCAAGTCTACGTTCTTTCACACACTAAAGAACGCCTTTATATCATTCATTTGGGCTGGCACACATCCCATATTATCATATCTCACCCTTACAAGAGCCAGAGAGCAGAAGGGAATTGGGTATGCTGCATATCTGTCACTACAATTTGGCTATCCTGTTTTCCAGGATACGAGAGTGGACTAGAGTCGATCATTGAAGGTAATGGTACATGCTTGAACAAACATTTGCTAATGCTCGCTACACCTTCTCCCATGGATACACAGACCTATTGTGGAATTATGCCAACATAACCACCCCCTGATATGGCACAAGTTGTGGAGAGGGGCTCAGTGGAGTTACTTCCTAAGCACTTACTAGGCTCAGTGGAGTTAAACTCAAGAGGCAGGCAATTGCCCTGAGC